TGGAGGCTGGACAGACTCACTCTCTGTGCACATGGAGTTCATAAACTACTGGGATTGGAGCCAGGTCAAACCAGAAAACACTGATTAGTTGCTACGCCATTAGCTACAGAACCTTAAAATTAATGTGACATTCATAAGTGATACCCATTGCAACAAGAATTGTGTAGGTATCAATTGTCACTGAAGACAGCAGATTATACAGGAATTCAAGCAAATAGTACCACTTCACTAAGAACTCTGTCCACCCTCATAGCCTGTACGTTCTTCTTTCCACAATGCATGTACTGGTGCAGAATAAAAAAAAAAAAAAAAAAAAGAAAAGAAAAAAAGAAAGAAAAGATTTAAAATAACACATTCTAATCAATTAGCTAGCCTTTAAGAAAATTATTTTTCAGACTCAAGACTCAAGATTTAACTAACATAGAAAAACCAAGCTAAGCTCAGCCAAATTTTGTGCCAAGGATAGGGGTCCTTTATTTCTATCCTTGAGGTTTTCTAGGATTATATAAATAAATGTGGTGCAGCATTTTTTTTCCTTTCCTTTTCACTTTTAAGATTTTTCTTCCATTTGCTCAAAAAGGGAAGGGTGGATCAAGAGACAGGGGAGGGAGGAAGGAGAGGAGAGTGGGTGGAAAGGGGATTAATCTATCTGTTGTTCAAGGCAGCCTGACAGAGGGAAGAGGAGTATTGAACCACAGAAGATTAACCAAACTTCAATGTACCTTCCCAAAAGCAGGAGGAATGTAAGGCTACGTGGTGTTCCACTGATAAGCAAATCCCTCTAAATCCTTTCAATTTATTTCTTGGCCTGGAGAAATTACATATTATTTAGGAGTCAGAGGGAAAAAAAATAAAATAAAATAAAATCACCCATCCAACCCACACCATCTCGAGGAATCATGATTGGGTGGCTATTGATTATATACACATAAAGGTCTGGCTCTGATGGCTGTTTTCCTTAGTGGTGCAGTTCTTTCTAGGACTGCTAATAAGAAAGGCTTGGCTGTGTGTCCACTGTAAACTCTTTTGGTTTTTCACCACCACCCTTGTTCTGAGTATTTAGGATCTAATTGTTATAAAGGAATGCCAAGATTTTAGCTAAACCTCCATAAACTTGATCTACTTTTTTTCCTTTCTTGCTTCCCTCCCTCCTTCCATTTCTTCCTTCCTCCCTTTCTCCTTTTTTATTCAAGGTAGGATTTCCTTTCTAAGTGAGCTCTTAATTCCAGTGTTATAAATAAAATCAAGTGTCTATTTTTAAGGAGTGACCAAAGCAAGTGACCAAAGCCAAATATTAATGTGACCTACAAGTAGTGATGTAGGTAGCAGTTAATGGATAGTATAAAATCCTGAACAAAAGTTTCTTTTCTGCAAAATTTATTTACTTTTATTTATTTTCTTATTGAATTGGACCAAAGCAAGTGACCAAAGCCAAATATTAATGTGACCTACAAGTAGTGATGTAGGTAGCACTTAATGGATAGTATAAAATCCTGAACAAAAGTTTCTTTTTTGCAAAATTTATTTACTTTTATTTATTTTCTTATTGAATTTAAACATGATTGATTTTACATATTTATGGGGTACAGAATTGCTATCAGTATTTGTGTACACTATGTGATGATCAAATCAATATTATTAGTAGGTTCATCACTACAAATTGTAATTACTCTTTGTGTCCCTTAATGGATAGTATAAAATCCTGAAAAAAATTTCCATCACTGAGAGCACCATTGTGTTTTTGAGCCAAAGATGTTGATATCATGTCTTACTCCATATTATTTCTTACTCTACAGTTCAAGAAGAAGGAATGGGTTTTTGAAAAGAAAACAGGAAAAATTAAATTTTATTTCCTTGTGGGATGTTCTTTCTCTTGGCAGTGTATCTTTATAGCC